CCCTTAAGGAACAAGTCCCAAAAACAGCATTCAAGTATGGTACTCAAGAGCCCAGCTCTTGCTGCAACTTGCGAGGCTCAAGGGGGGCGCCTCCTAGCTTTTAGGGCTCTGATGGTTTAGAGTAAGGGTTTAGGGTTTAGGATTTAGGATTTAGGGTTTAGGGTTTAGGGTTTAGGGTTTAGGGTTTAGGGTTCAGGGTTCAGGGTTCAGGGTTAGGGCTTAGGGTTATACCCTAAACCCTAAAACCTTAAACCCAAAGCCCAAAACCCCTAAACCCTAAATCCTAAAGCCTTAACTGAAGTCCCTAGACCCCTAAAATCCTTGAACCCGAAGTCTCTAAGCAGGAAGAAGCTAGGTAACCTAAGGGCCTTCATAACTAGACTAGGGTTTGGGGCCCCTGATACTGTGTCTATAACAAGGAACCCCCAAAATAGTATAGGTAACTATAAAGCCCCCTATATTTAGAATAAGGAATTTTGGGGTAGATTATAATATAATTACAACAAGGAACCACCAAAATAGTATAGAGGCCCCTATAGTATGGCTCGGGCTTTCATGGGCTAGCGATTCTCAGGGCTTCAGGGCGGAAGCTATAACCAGTCGGCACAGCAAGGCGAGGTCAACCCTTAAACCCTAAACCCTTAAACAGCACAGAGACTGCAATTGCGACATCGAAGGCCTACCGGTCCCTGGCTGGGGGTTGCTTCCAAGTCCCATACTTTAGGGTTTAGTGTTTAGGGTTTAGGGTTTAGGGTTTTAGGGTTTAGGGTTTAGCTCTGCTCTTGTGTCAGCTGAACCGTCAACCCTAAATTCGATCGTGAAACTCAACGACGACTCTGTCGAATGCTTGCTGCTGGATGCAATCCTGGCATTGTGCCACACCCTGATGGGCTCATGGTTCTGGGATCCAGCTTAAGACAGATGTTCAGGCATGCACTTCATATACTAGGATATAGTTACTCATGATCAGCCCTTCCTCGCTGCCAGGTAGGTCTGGGTGTGCAAGCACCCATGGTAGCACCGATGGGTCCGGGTGACGCTCGAGTTCCTGCAAGGATCTCGTCTCGTGCATTCATGGCCTTTCCTGCCACGTTTCCTTGCTTCGCCGGTTTAGAGTTTAGGGTTTAGGATTTAGGGTGTAACACTCCTCCACTTTGAGCTCCTTCGTTGTGGAGCTCTTGGCTATTACGACGAAGCTGGAAGACAACCCATCACCAGAGCAGCGAAGATAGTCCAAGAAGCGGTCCTCGAGCTTGCCACCTCATGTGCTTAGTGGGCTCGAATGCTAGGTTCCCCAGTAGCCTCTAAATAATAAGGGTACCCTTTTCCTACTGTTTGGTTTTATTAAGGGAACCCAAAAAAGAAAAAGGGCAAAAGGGTACAATAAAAGCCTAGGTCTACACCAAATCGTTCATGTAAGTAGCCGGCGCCTCTCGCCTACTTGGCATCCAGACCACGAACCCTGAACCCGTACTGGTTTAGGGTTCGGGGGTTTAGGGTNNTTTAGGGTTTAGGGTTAAATCCTGAGGCTTCAACCAGAGGGTACTGCCATGCATTGGCCGGCTGAAGCATCAGCGGCGTGCAGGCAAACCTCACTGAGGCTTGGGATTTGTCAGGTCATGGACTACATGTTCCAGGTGGGATGGTAGGCTATGAAGGGTCGTAGTGTGTTGCCGTCGCAGCTGTCCACAGCAAGTCCACGATCAATGTCCACACTCATGCTGCTATCAACACTATCGCGGCCACCACACCCCCGACTGTTGAAACTTGTGCTGGCGCTTTTTCGTGTACTAATACTTGCTATTGTTGTCATCGTTGGGCTCAGTGTATGGTCAGCATTGCTGTGCATTCGTAAATGTCAGCGTGCAGGAGTTTTTTTCGGTCCCTCACAGGGACCCTAACTCAGAGAGCTACCCGTCTCCAGGTAAAACAGTTTGGCAGCAAGGACAACCCTGAACCCTAAACCCT